TCATTTTAATATAACTTAAACAAATAATTTGCTGACTACTTATTACACTTTTATCTTTATGATTGTGCATAATACACGTGCAAAAAAATGTTTTCTATAAGTCTAATATAAAGTCTTATAATAACATCATAAATTAAGTACAAATATACAATCAATTGTTTAACTGCGACTAACACGATATTTGAAATATATAAAAAAATATATTCTTAGTAGAGAATAATACTATCTTACTTTTTAAAATTAAAAAAATGGTCATTTTCCCAAATAATTTCTTTTTTGTTAAAATTTTATCAAATGTAGATTTTCATTATTTTTATTTAAAAAACTAAAATTCAAATTTTTAGGAAAATAGGACACAGAATAGAGAATAAAAAAAATACACAGAGTATTAAAATGGTTTTTTTTAATATCATATTTTAGTTTGTCACTTGAGCATAAAAAAGGATTATAAACAAAATCAAAATTTATGTATGGTTAATAATTCAATATTGTTTATCGAATCATACCTACAATATCAGGGCTTTAAAACTTTTTAAAACGCCAAAAATCGGTATAACTCCTATACCTCTGTAGCTATGATTCGAAGTTAATATTTGATCTTAATTAGCCTAAATATTAGTTTGGAAGGGAGGTCAGCACAAATGTTTTCTTTGACTACTTAATACTATAAACTCAGCTTAATATCTAAAATGTATATGTTTACAATTTTCGAAGGGTTTCTATTAACCCATTTAGCATACATGTCAATGGTTAGAAAACCATGGTCTCAAAATTTAGAGACTCAGTGAATATTGACACAGTCCGTAAGGTGCACAATTAATTTATTGTAAATTAACTTGTTATCCGGTTGTGATTACCAGCTGCCCACCATCGCATTCGTCAGTGTTGACAATAACACTATGCTCGTCTTGTCTTTTGGTCGGTAAAAAGAACACGTCGGGAGGGTTTAGCACCACGAGACACGTCGGCGGCTATGTAAACCAGTCCACTTGTGACTTACATCCGACGCACGTGCCGCCAAATTATACAGAGTAATTTTTTTATCATAAACCACTTAATTATTTACAGAATAAATACAATTTTAACATTTTTTTTTTTTTTTGGTTTTTTTTAGTTACACATTATTTTTGAATTATTAACTATGGAATACTTTTCTAGTCACAGACACTGAGTGTTTATTGTCAATTGTCACTATCAATAGATATACTTTCTGTATTGATAGTTACTGTATTTATAAACTCACAAAATGTGCCTTACTATCATTGATAATAAATACTGTGTACTTGTGAATATTGATGTCATAAAATAACAATTGGCTATCTGTACTTACAATTCCTTGTGTATTATGCATGTATATTAACTAAACAATTTGAAACTTTAAATGTTTATATCTAATAAACTAATAAAGTCATATTAAAAATTCAAATGCCATTTACTATTAAATTAATAACTCAAACATTTTATTAAATTCAAAATATGTGTTCCCATTTAAAAAAACGAAGTTGACACCCTTACAAGGCATAAGGAATGAACTTAAAAAGTATTACATAGTTAATAATTCAAGAATAATGTGTAGCTAAAGATAACCAAAAAATAAATGTTTCAATTGTATTTATTCTGTAAGTAATTGAGTGAGTTATGATAAAAAAATTACTCTGTATATCAGCGCCTGTATTTTTCTGTGTATATTTCAGTATTTGAATAATAATATTCTATTTAGAATTGAAAAAAACTGATCCTAAACCTATCCGTGTTTTTTTTAACTAAACATGGTGCTCGTATGTGAGCTTTGATGCGAAGCTGAGAAGGTATTGGTTTTACTAAGATGTGTTTATTTATTTATTTTATTTTTGTGTCTGTTACCACTTTTTCTCAGCTCTCACCGAACCGATTTCTTTCAACAATACGTCAAAAGATCACAAATAGTATATATTCGATAACATTACCCTAAAAATAGAAAAAAATTCCCTCGTTCCCCGTAAATGGGGAAAATCTCCAAAAAAAAAAATACAAATTTAAAAATCGGTAATTTTTGACATTTCCTTCATTTTTTTAAATTAAAACTGCCATAACTTTTTGAAAAATTTATGGTCCAATACAATTTTTTTTTTATAGTTACATGAGTTGTCAGAGGTCGATGTTGAAGAAACTTAGGCCACACAAGGTTTTAATTATTAATTGGCGTGAACCGTAATTTATTGCACAGATTACAAAAAAAAAACAAAGTATTGAAAATAAAAGTATGGAAAAGACAAAATTGTATGGTTAATAATACTAAGATAATTAACACACGTTATATATAATCGTATTCGTAGTAATAGGAATCCTGAAAATGCTACAAACAACCGAAAAACGGACATGGAAGTGTCTCGGAGATGACTGACTCGACGTATTATTGCGGCGGGGTATTCGACGCTAGGCATTTGTTGGACTTTACACCACGACGATAACGCGTGTGTGTAACGGTCCGGTTTACAGTGAAGTGGTGGCTGAGAAGGAGCTGATACGACCGCGGGGTGTCAACGTGTGACAACGCCGTGGCTGTGTCAGAGTCTTTAACTGCACTCAGAAAGGGATTCAAAATGATTTTCAAAAAACTTTTTCAACTATACTTTTGAAAATGTTTCAGAAATACTGACACTTTTATATATATATATATATATATATATATCTTAAATTAAAGTTAGTGTAATATACTTTATTATGGAAAAAGTAATATTAAAAATAACCAGAGCAAAATGTAATTTTTAAATTTTTTTTTGGTCATTTAAAGTGGTTTTTTGTGAAAGCTTATAATAATAAAAAAAATGATTTATTATCATAACTTTTAGCTCAACTTGCAAGTTTGAAATAGACATCAATAGAAAATTCTAGGAGGATTAAAAAAATAATATTGTTAACATTAATATGCAATCAGGATTTACCTGATTCAATCACCTTTTATTTTTTCTTAAAATTGTCAAAATTTATTGAAAAATGAATGAAGAAAAATAAGTTTTTTTATATTGAAATCTTAGATATTTTCCTTACATTAGATATAATTTTTTTGATAATCGGACCCTTTATCTACCCACAGGGGGGGTAATTATATTATTATATTATGTTAATATATCACATACACTATACATTTTTATTCACTTAATATTTTTTGTTACAATTTATTATTTTTAAGAAGGTAGCTGATATTTTATATTAATTGCTTATAATTTATGAATAATTATAAATTTTTATGTTCAAGAAAGTGATAATGGAGTAATGGCACCTACTAAAAATTTATTATTATTTTCTGTTTTATTGTTTTTATTTTGTGTCTATTATTTTTCTAATATTTTCATTGAACTTTTAATTGAACAATAACACATAGCCAAGTTAAATTATTTCTAATCATCTATTTTTATTAATTAAAATTTATAATTGTTTCGGCATACGTTATCGTATAGTTATTTTTTTTTAGTATTATTGTGATAAGCTAACGATCTGTTTTGCTCAGCGGAGAAAAACCAGTCTCCTAATAAATGCCTCACTATGCACATATAGCAAAAATTCGTTTTTATTAATTTATAGTTAAGCGACCTAAGTAGCCTTCTTCTCGTAAAAAGAAAAATACAGTCCACATTCGTAACAATAATAACACTATACATTTTAATTAATAAACCTTTTGCCGTTTTATATTATATTATATTCATATATCACGGACACACCTTCGAATAATATACTTAACAACTAATAATTCTATGTAAAATTATAATCACTTCAGTACGAGAAAGTGATAATGTCGTATACACCGGTATACTTTTACACTAAAATTAACTTTTAACTATGGAGTTTTAAAACGTTATTAAATACATTTTCAAAACATAATCTTTCACAGAGGTTAGCTCCAGCACAAACCCTGAAGAAACTCCGTGTACTACTACCGGTTATAACTACCAACACCAGGAAAAACAGAGCGTTTATGCTAAGTTCGACTAGCAAGTCCAAAATCAGATACAAAAGAGAACCCAAAAGGCTGACTCTACGGAATTCTTTAACTCTGTGAAGTGAAGAAGGAATATTAAAATTACTCATGGAAAAACTCAATAAAAATTAATTGTATTCTCATAATACAGATCAAATAAATTAACGATAATAACGTTTCACAAAATAATTAAAAGAGAATAAATCGTCATTACATAATTAACCAAAAGATAAAAAGGATTAAAAAAATAGCCTTTAACTCTAGAACAATTAATTATTCAAAAATTTATCACAAAGTACCTCCGGTGGTCGCTGACACAATCCCCTCTTTACATATATCTACCACTTTTATACTAGTGACCAAATTGTAAAATAACATACATACGTAGCATTAAAAAAATAAGCAATAATTAAATACATGACCAATAACTTTTTTTTTTTACCCATATAACAATAATGTGATTATGGTGCCTATTAAGAATTTACTATAATTTATTGTTGTGTCATATAATTTTTTTAACATTTTTATTTAATTTTTGTATTTTTTTATGATAATTTAATCCCAAAATATAATTGATTATATGTTTGTGAAATAGAAATGTTATTACTACTGATATATTAGGAGATTAAAGTATTAATAAAATATTACATAATATATCACTTTATTATACTTATATTTTTATTAAGATAAATTTGTCATTTTTTTGTTGCTACAAATATATTTGGGTATCATCGCCCACAGCAATGAGCAGGATAACCTACACATAATATTATGTATAATCAAATAAAAATTAATTTTTATTTTAAACTAAATTTCTGCTAATACCTTAACTATTGATTAAAAGTTAATAAAGACATTGTAAATGGACAAGTTTATCGTTCTTTTAAGATATAAATATTTAATTATTATTTGTATACTTTTATTGCAAATTTTCTGATTAAGGCCAGTCACCATCTTCCCTTAAATAAAAAACTTAAAACGCAATAAATAAAACTTTGTTTTATTTTATTTTTTCAACATATATTTTTCGACTTATATTTTATTAAACAATAAAATTTGGAATACGTTATAATATTAAATATTATAAAATGTTTTATTTATTCTTGTATCGTATTTAAATCCAAGATTGTTGTAATATTTTACAATATATTTGTTAGCATTATTGCAAAATATTTCTTGTATAAGAACAGGTACATAATTAATATCTAAATCTTTTTCATCAATTATTTTTTCAATGTCTTCAAAGTTTTTGTCATCATCAATTTCGACACTGCCTGAATCTTCATTACTATCGAGTTGTAAATCAAATACAAATGAACATTTTTTTTTATTCCAATCATATATTTTGTCATTTATTTTTTCATATAAGTCTTTTATATTATCCCTGATTTTTGAAATATCTTCTTCATTTATTGTGACATCCTTATCAATCATAGAAGGATGAGCTGCAATATATTTTTTGAAAGTATTTTCAATTTTCTCAATTTTTTGCACATTCGAAAATATAATTATTGACAGATGTTTTCATGTAATCTCTGAGAAAATAGCGATAATAAAAATACATTTAATTTAAAAATTAGATTTAAATATCATTACATTTTTTCTTTTTTTAGAGAACAGTTTGATAATTATAACGCTTTTCTGTACTGGTTGCAATACTGCATTTCAATAATACTGTCAGTAATTAAACAATAAGATATAATAAATGTGTCAATTTTTTTTTATCATATAGCAACATACATATTTAACTATTCAAAATAATAATTATCGAAATAATAAAATGACTAATAAGGATTTATCTAATTTAATTTTTTTTATTTTTATAATATAATGGATATTTTTTGAATCAGATATTTAATGTTTTTCTAGTACACTATTATATAGAAGCATAAAAATTGAAATGAAACTCTACCCTTCATAGACACATAATATTTTTTTCTAAAATATCCATATTTTTTTTGGTTTTTCCTTGTATCAACTTCAGATTTTCATATTACAACCCAATTTTTTTTTATACCATTAGATTTAGTTAAATGAAAAAACATTATTATTTCATTTAATTCTAAACGCTATATGGCTCTCTAGAGTCTAGGGTATAATACGAATAAATATACATGATCATAAGGGACTCTAAATGTTAGCCAACGGGCTCCTATAATAACGGTTGGCCTGTATGACTGATAATAATCAACACAGAAGAAACAAATGACTTAAACAAATATATACCCAGATATAAAATAAAAGATATTGATATTCTTACAATTATTATTTGTATATATTATAAAATAATATGGTTATCTTGTTCAGTTTATAATTAATAAATAAATTGGCGTCCCCTAATATAAATGTGGGTACAATTAATAAATTAAACTATAAATAAATTTACATACAGTAGTATAATAAGATTTAACTCGTTTAATCTACAGATTTGACTGACTTCACTGTGATAGCTTCCAACTTTTTAATATAACGGTCTAACAATCACGGACTAAAACCGGTGTCCAGTTTTCGTTAATAATTTGAACTTCAATAAGACCTCAACTTTTAGCTCAGTCTTTCACGGCTCTACGCAATAGGCCGGAGAACAGCAATATTGTTACACAAAAACAACACGCGTACGTCGATTACGTAACGGTATCACGATACAATATAGCGTAAAGAAACATTAGCATATGTCAACCATAGCAGCTATGGTTGACATATGCTGACTAGCTGCTAGTCAGCCGACAGACAGCTTGACCATGAAAATTATCTGACCGGTGTTGTCAAAAGCCGCATTATACACTTTCGCGATCCAATATTACCACCACTACCTCCGTGTTCAACCGATACACGCTATCAATACCGACTGATACGGAGATAACACGTACTGTTTTGAACACTAACGTTATAGGGTCGTAAATCGATAAGCATTACCAATATGTAGTAATGCTTAATTACTGTTGTAAAAGTACAAGCATATTTCTAAGTTGTTGAAAAAATATCTGTATGACGTAATCTATAATCCTGTGATCAAAATGTTTTATTACTATCAGTTTAAGCCAAGATGTTCCAGAATAATTAAATTTAAGTTGTTACCATTATTTATTACCATTATCAGATCGTCGATTGTCAATAATGATCTATTTTGCATCAGTCACATGGTTGCATATAACCGATTGGAAAATATGCTTTTAATTGAAAAGTTGTGTATTTTTCATAACTAGAAATTATTATGCTGACAAAATTTACAAATTTCAAATATATAAATTTTGATATTTTTTTTCTAGCACTGCCATTATTTTTTCAAAAATGAACATATAAAATGGTCAATTTTTTCAACTTAACTTTTGAAAATGTTCCGGAAATACTGCGTCCTTTAAAAGTATGTTAAAATAAAGTTTATGTTACGTGCTATAAATTAAAAACAAAAATTGTCTCGGCGATTTATCTTCTACGTACAAATACAAATAATTTTTTATATGTAAACACATTACGTATTTTTCTTACATTTGATATATATTTTTATGTAAATCTGACCCTTTACTTGCCTACGGGGAAGATTCAAAATAGCAATTTTTTCACGAAATTTTAACTTTTGCTTTTGGAATGAACCAATATCTTTAAATAAACATATTTAAAGATTTGCATTTGGGCGTTTCTTAAAATAGTGATTTTAATCACCATCAGATATCATCTATACATGTCCTAGCTATGCTAAGTGCACACTATGCTACGACCTCACTATGCTACCGTTGTTTTTTAGTGTTGTAATGTGATTACTTAAAATACAAACAACAAAAGAACATTGTGCACAACTTGATCGTTGAAAAAATTTCCCTCGTTCCATATAAATAAGGGTAATCCATAAAAAAATTTATAAATTTTAACATTTTTCTAAGGATTGAGTTAATATATAGCTCCCAATCATCTCTTTATATAATAATATAATCAGAACATAGAATAAAAATCATTTTAATAAATAATTTAACACTTCTGAAATTATTAACCTTAATAATCCTTGAATAAAAATTATTTTGAAAATCTGACCTTTTTCCCTGTCACAGGTGAGGTTGCAAAATGACAACTTTTCAACAAAAAATTACTTTTTCATCTTAACCTTTGAAATTGTTCCAGATACTGACACTTTTATATATATCTTAAATTAAATAGTACATAATTGATTTTAACATGAAAAAAAAAAACAATTTCGAACTTTATTTTGTTTTTATGGTGAAAACGGCTACACTATTCAACAATAGTATATTTTTGAATAGTAATTAATAATCATTTTTACTAAGAATAAACTTCACCGTTTCCTTTAATTATTGATAAAATATTAATAAAGATATTGTAAATGGATAAGTTTATCTTTCTTTTAAGATATAAATTAATATTTAATTAAAAATTATAATTTCCATTTATTTTATTTTCTCAAAATACATTTATTGAAATTTTATCTTAAAAGTAATTCTAAGTATATTTAAATATTTTTACATTTTTAATTATTATAAAATATTAAGATAATGATAACGTTTATAAACAATGATATATCATAAATGTGTCAACTTTTTTTTTTCAATTAGCAACATACACATTTGACTATACAAAATAAAAATAATCTACTAAAGAATGTGGCTGAAAAAAAGTTCTCTGAGTTTCTTCTATTGGATTTTAATAATTATAATAATATTTTTTTGTATCAGAGAGGATTTACTTTTTTCTAGTAAAGTATTATAAAGAAGCGTCAAAATTGAATAAGAAACCCTAACTTTCATAGACACATTATATTGTTTTCTAAAATATCCATAATTTTTTTTATAAAATAAAATTTTCTGAATAGTCACCTTTATGGCGCAATTCTATTATGCTGTTATTTTTATAAAATACGTATTATGCTTGTATTACACATTTATAATTTATTTATTATACACCTAAAAATAATATACACCATTTTTACATAACTCTTCGAGAGGACGGAGCCAATAAATATTATATTTTATGTCTATAAATTTGCGTACAATATAGTTATGAAAATAAAGCACACGCAAATTTCTTGAAAAAATCTGGTACTTGTTTTTTTTTTTTTGCTTAATTTTAGTTTATTAGTACGCTGACACTGCAAGGTTCAAGACACCTAAAAATAAAAATAAATGATAATTATCTTTATCTATAATAAATCCACCACAGTTGGATCGCTGCAAAGTGGGGCACGTGGCATAATTGGGTCCAGTATAGATTTAATCTGACAGTGATTAAAATCATTATTATAAAAAAAGCTTCGATGCAAATCTGTAGATAGTGTTTAATATTAAACAATTGTTGGATTATTCCAAAAGCATCATAATCTCTTTTTTCCTTATTTATATCTTGATTACATGTTTTATGATTTATAAGTGTAATATATGAATAAATATATATTAAAACAAATATAGTAAAAAACTGATATTTAATAATTAAGTACTGAAATTTTTACGAAGAATTTAAAAAAATTACAAAGTAGTTATTACTTTTATGGCACACGTATATATAAAAGTTGAAGGTTGTTGAAATATATATACAAAATAATAGGTAAATACCTCGCGTATCTAAAAAAAAAAAATTACATTGATTTGGTCTTAATAAATATAATTATTAAAATCCAAAAAGAAGAAACTCAGTGTACACTTTTTCAGACACTTTTTTAATTAGATTATTTTTATTTTGAATAGTTAAATGTGTATGTTGCTAAATGAAAAAAAAAGTTGACACATTTATAATATATTATTGTTTAATTACTGACAATCATTACTAATGTAGCACTGCAATCAGTAGTGAAAAGCGTTATAATTATCAAAATGTTGTTTCATAAAAGTAAAAACTGTAGTAATATTTATTTTTACTTTTAAAATTAAATTTATTTGAATTTTTGCTATTTTCTATGCAATTAATTTAAGTTTGTGTGCCTCATTTAATCATCGTTATAATATTATTTTAGAATTTGTCGCAACTATTCTTTAAAATATATTTTATTATACATAATATAAACATTAACATATTTTTGAGTTTAATGTATCATTGATGTTGATTTTTCAGATAATGACGTCAAACAGAGTAATTGTATAAAAAAGATTGCATGCAATAACAATTTTGTAAAAAAAGTTATATAAATTACTTGATATTTTCTATTATTTTATCAAAGTTTCGTCTAATAACAATATAATAATGAAAATGCTCACTAGTATTTTATTATTTACAGTTTTAATGTGTGAATCTCAACTTACATCATGCGATCATTCTAAAGTTAACAATATACTAAATTCATTCATTAAAAAATGTTTTGCGTATAAAAGTTTAAAATATTTTCAATTAAGTAAATTTACAGTTCTCAAAGATTACAAGGCACTCGTTAATACTCCGTCAGAAACGTTTGTTAATTATGTTAATGATAAATTATTTACAGTGACAAAAGTATTAAGTTGTGATTATGTCTTATACTTGTTGTATAATGCAAACATCCTTGTTTCTTATTTCGAAATTTGTATAAAAATAAATGAGGAACAAAATAAAGAGGCTGCAATAAAATGTTTTGATAGTCTGAAGACATGTAATACTAAAGTAAATAAGGTAATTACTTACTTTATAAGTGCGTTGGATTATTTAACTAACCTGACGAATAATGACTTGAAAACATTTATAAATGATTATACAGCCACATTGAAAATGTTTGAGATTTTTGAACTATTTACAATCAACTTAAATGCAGATAATCTTTCTTTGATTTCTGAGAATGTCATACTAAATGAAGAAAATATTGAAAAATTAGATACAACCGTTAAAGACAATCAAACCATATATAATAATTTTGCTAATAAATACTGTGATAATATTTTAGATGGATTACCTGATTATGAATTACATAAATTAAAATCATCATTTGAGTATATATATGGTCAACATTTTTTTAGTAAATGTAATAACGATCCTGCTCTTATGCATACAAAATATATGGAATTCCTTAAGGAAATTATTGCTAAATATTATAGCAAACTTGGATTTAAATACGATACAGATACTAATAAAACTCTTTATAATAATTAATATCATATTGTATTCCAAATTTTAAAGATAAAGCAAATATATTTCAATAAATGTATTTTGAGAAAATAAAATGATTGGAAATATTAATTTTGATTTAAATATTGTTTATATTTTAAAAGAAAGATAAACTTATACATTAAAAGATAAGGTGACGTTTATTTTTATTAAAAATTATTATTTATTACTATTCAAAAATATACTATTATTGAATTAAATTAAAAATTGTTAATTTTAATAATTGAGTATAATATATAAAGTAATTTGATTAGCGATTTTGTAATAAAAAATGTAGAATGTTTAATATTTTTGTACCAATTTTATTATTTTTATAAAATACCTCTTGTATTATTTGGTATAATAAGCGTAATACACATATTTAATACAATATTATATATATATATATATATATATATATATTGTATGATACAATTTACATCACTGCATATAATACATCATATTTAACAATTTACAAAAGTATGACACTTTTTTTGATTATTTCATTATTATTCATAAAGCATGTTTAACGTCCTTTGTAGAAGCTATTGTTTGTATCAGAGATGATAGGAAATCTACATGGCCCAGTGCAATGGAATCGATCTACAGTACTTCTAATGAGACACAACGCGTCACTTAATCAGCTATTAAATCGATTGTATTGAATTAACGCTTTCTGTTTTATGATTCTCAAGTTAAAGATTTAATTTTTACATTCTTTAGTTAACTCGAATATATTGTTAATATTCTATAAATTAATAGTGACTACTAACTAAAAAATGGGGGGGGGGGAGGTAAAACTTTTTTTTGTAGAACCATAATTTATAGAAAAATTATGAATATAATAGTAAATGTTTACAATTTAAAGGGTATCATACTCTCATATCTCTTTCGATTTGATTCTGACTATTGGTAATTAATGCCTTTTATTAATAAAGTAAGTTGATAATTGTTAATTATTTAATTTTTTTTGAATTATGATGAAAGTAATAAACGATACTAGTTAATATTGTTTATAATAACATCGTTAACATAAATTATCAAGAATACCTTTGTGTAATGTAAAGTTTTTTCGAGATGATAATATTTAATTTTTTTTAAACAAATGATGACAACATTGTTGCATTATTACTAATGTAAATTCATTTGAAAAACAATCTAACAAAATATATTTTTAAGTGGACGAGAAAAAACTAGAACAATTGTTCAATATTAACAAAAACGGCAAGTATTTTAAGTGCGTGATTAATAGAAAAATTGACTTAAAAACAGCCAAAAAATTGATTTATATTTTTCAATAATTTTTCTAATATATCACTTTTTAATTATAATTTAATGACATCAATATTTATTTATATTGAAATAAATTTTATTATAAATTTATAAATCATTATCGTGGCGCACTCTATAATTTAATGTTTTTTTATTATATATCAATGTTTAAAGTTATTTTGTTTTCGTGAATTCCTTATTTGTTTGTTGGTGCCACATTACAGATTTTTTAAGTAAATGGTGAAAATCCCCCCAAAAATTATGATTTTTGCAATCAGTAAATGTCTACATATTTTAAACTTCTCTAAACACAAGTTATTGATTTAATAATTGATATATAAAGTAATTTGATTAGCGATTTTGTGATAATAAATGTAGAATGTTTAATATTTAAAGGGTATCATACTCTCATGTCTCTTTCGATTTGATTCTGACTATTGGTAATTATTGCCTTTTAGTAATGAAGTTAGTTGACAATTGTAAATTATTTCATTTTTTTTTAATTATGATGAAAGTAATAAACGATACTAGTTAATATTGTTTATAATAACATCGATAACATAAATTATCAAATATACCTACGTGTAATGTAAAGTTTTTTCGAGATGATAATATTTAATTTTTTTTAAACAAATGATGACAACATTGTTGCATTATTACTAATGTAAATTCATTTGAATAACAAAATATATTTTTAAGTGGACGAGAAAAAACTAGAACAATTGTTCAATATTAACAAAAACGGCAAGTATTTTAAGTGCGTGGTTAATAGAAAAATTTACTTAATAACAGCCAAAAAATTGATTTATTTTAGCTTCGATGCGAAGCTGAGAAGGTATTGGTTTTACTATGATGTGTTTTTTTTTGTGTCTGTTACCACTTTTTCTCAGCTCTCACCGAACGGATTTCTTTCAACGATACGTCAAAAGATCACATATCGTATCTAGTCGAAGACATTACCCTTAAAAATTGAAAAAATTTCCCTCATTTCACGCAAATAGGGGAAATATCCAAAAAAATTACAAATTTAAAAATCGCTAATTTTCGAAATTTTTTCAATTTTTTTTACTAAAAACTGCCGTAACTTTTTTAAAAATGAACATATCAATATAATTTTTTTTTATATAGATGCTTGATGTCTTTACCTATCATTTGGTATATTTTTTTTGTAAATTTGACACTTAACCTGCCCACAGGGGGGGATTTAAAATGACAACTTTTTTGCAAAAAATTGACTTTTTTCAACTTAACTTTTGAAAATGTTCCGGGAGGTCTGACACTTTTATATATATCTTAAATTAAAGCTAATGTAATATACTTTAATTTGAAAAAAAAAAATGACCTCTGGACTTGTCTTCATGGCGAAAATGGCTACCGAATGCTATTTTCGTGTGTAAAATTCTCGATTTTATTATTTATATTATATTTAACTTTATAATGCTATAACTTATTGAAAAGTTTATGGATCCACACAATTTGTTTATGAGAAATAGTATTTTTTAATAAACCCTTTTTCATTCGACATACTTTATCTTAATGGAGATATTAATAAGGAACCAGCAGATCAAGTAGCTTTTGGAATAAAACACCAATTTTTTTAAAATTAAACACTATCTAAAGATTTGCATCGAAGCATTTATTTTTGATAGTGATTTTAATCACTGTCAGATATCATTATACTTGATCCAACTATGCCACGTCATCACTGTGCCGTGACCCCCCTGTACTGGGTTTTTTTTCAATAATTTTTCTATAATATCACTTTTTAATTATAATTTAATGACATCAATATTTATTTATATTGAAATAAATTTTATTACAAATTTATAAATCATTATCATGGCGCCCTCTATAATTTAATGTTTTTTTATTATATATCAATGTTTAAAGTTATTTTGTTTTCATAAATTCCTTTTAAGTAAATTTAAAGATTTTTTAAGTAAATGGAGAAAATCCCCCCAAAAAATTATGATTTTTGCAATCGGTAAATGTCTACATATTTTAAACTTCTCTAAACACAAGTTATTGATCTAATTATTATATATTTATGGTTAAGAATTACAATCATAAGCAGTTATAATCTTATGAGTATAATTTTTACTGAAATAAAAATTTAAATATATCATTATTTAACATTTTTTTTTTTGTTATCTTTATAAAATAATTACGGAATAAACTACTGAACTTTAGTACTGAATAATCTCATTAAATAAATAGGTTATTGGTAATTAGTTTATATTAGCCGTTACAAACAATCGTTTGATTATCAGCTTTAATTTTTTCTTTTGCAGTTAGGACTATCACTACATTGCTTTTATTATTATAGTTGGCTTGTATTTTGGTTCATTATTTTTTTTAAAACTAATATTACTGTTTAAAATATTAACTACGACTATATATCAATATTTAATTTTAAAATAAATGTAAATCAAATAAAGATCAAAAGAATTTCTTCCGTTATTTTCATTTATTACATTTGCCATCTGTATCATGGGGCTCGTATATCACTAATCGAAGTGTTTACCGTTAAAATGATACGGTCCCGCTTCGCATCGTGTTACATGGAGCCTTGTGCCACCTTTATCAGCCGTCGGTCTACTACGTGTACCATATGGTAGTTTGACTGACCAGCACCGCGTGCCAATAGCCACGGCACTAAGTCCAGCAGCAAGTGACGCACGTCCGACAACGACCCGCCGTAAATATACCTTGAAGTGACTTCGTGACACCGCTCTACGCGGATCGCTCTAAAAATACCGCTCTACACGGTTCGCTTTAAAAAGCCCGCTCGACGCATCTATTCACCGTCCACTACGATGTCGACACTTCGTTTACGCTACACCTTATTAGCTCTGTAATATTCTTATTGTAGTTGTCATTATCTAGTTATGTACACTTGGGATTACTTTTTTGTTGTTGCAATAAATATTTGTCACTTCCGGTGCAACTCGGTGACGCCTACCTTATTACGTATCAACTAAACTCTAACAAAAATGTATGTGTTATTACTAATAACTATTATTATGATTCAATTTGGACACTATGTATCATCTATAAACAACTGAACATTTTTAGCTTCGATGCGAATTACGTAGATTGCTTTATTCAAAAAAAATTATTTTAAAAAAAAGGGTACGTACGCTCTGTAGTGTTTATTTTTGTGACTCTGAAAAAAACAACCTCGTATAACTTAAAAGAGTAGTCTCCGGGTATTAGTTTGAGAAGAGTTGTGGCTGCATCTTTTAGAAAAACTGACCGGTAGCCTTTTAGGGGTATGAAGTTTAGTATGAACCATGAAAATTCAACTAATATCAATATTATACTAATTTTGTTAATCCATGTTTAGACGTGGGTATACATGGCCTGAGTCCGAATACTCGACAATTAGTGTGAACTGTCAATGGAAGTAACTGGTAGCACTAAGGAAGAAGAGCTCTCTCACTGGTTGGTTTCCAAGGAAGACTATGTCCAAATTCCCAACTAGGAATACGGTTGCGGATAGGCTTTGTAGTGGCTATGACAGGAGTGTTATGGAATATCAAAGCTAATTCATTCTCGTGACATTACTATCACAATTGTTGACCTGTATATATGTATTTAAACATTTATTGGCTTATTTAGAGGTTTAATTAAAACAAGTTTTACAGTGATTTTTTTTTTGGTGAACTTATCTATATAACGTCATAATAGTAATAATAATAGTTGTGATTTAAATTATAAAATATTCATAATTATATATAATATATTGTATATAAATATTTGTTAATCCTTAGTAAAATATATGTTTCTTTAAGTTTCATAATGAAAACAAACATTTATTTACAATAATATTAAATCCGTAAATTGCACGAAAAATAATTTATTACTTGAGTACTTAAATGCATTTTTGATAATTATCAATTATGATTCGATTCTAGTTCAGGTGAGTTATCTTGCTAAAATTTTATCCAACTGCAGAAAAAGAGGTTGCACCAGGAGGAATTATTATTCTAAAATAATATTTTTTTTATATTTACTTATTTCTTATCTACTTAAAAAATTTTTAGTTATGGTGACTTAACTTACATTGGATTGTAGCAGCATTGGATGCTACCAACAGTTTGACCATTACATGACGATGGACCATCTGCTAATGTATAGTTTTCATAAGGTGGACATATGAAGTTTGGATTGTCCTTACAAAGTGCAACTTCGCAAAAACTATAAACATAGCTAATTATTGCAAATATAACAAAAACAAAAATTGTTAATTTCATTATTTTACTTCAAAGTAAAATTATATAGTAAAATGAATTATTGCTATTCAATATAGATAAAATAAAGACTAATGAGCCAGAATTCTTTTTATATATACTAATTACTGATGTGTTATAATCGAATTTCTATGGTGGGAAATTTTTTCATGTAATCTGTAACTTTGTAATATATTTAATGATAAAATTTATTAGACTTTCTTATTGAATAATATACCTGTTTTTATGTCCAATATTTAAAATCATGTGTTCGGAGAATAAACGTTTTGGATCGGACATGCGCCAACAATTTTCAAAAATTGTTGGTGCATGTCTGATTTTATTATTATATGAAGTTAACAATTATTTATTGCGCTTAAAACTTTTTTTTTTTATGAAAAACTTACAATTATCTGTTATTATCCCTTTTTATCTGTTAGAATGATCTGTTGCTAGATAAGGCAACAAGAGAGAATAAATATAATTAAAATCGAATTATATAAATATTTTATTTAATTTTTGTTGCCTTTCTTTGTAGACATGGTTTTTGATACATTCATATTTTTGCTCATGTTTAACTTAATTTTCTTTTTTAACAATTAAATTAAACTTTCCTTTTAATTTTAACTGTAAAACGTATTTTATTGTGCGAGTAGCTTAAGTACTCGCGTATATTTTATCCCTGTTCCTTAATCTAGACACGGGCTATGGTATGTTTTACATATCAACCACTTACAAGTTTAAATATCATAGTTGTGGTTGATAAGCCACAAGGTGTTATAATCATATGAATATATAACGACCTATTAACTTCAAATTAAATTCCACCTATGGTATGGTAATCATATCTGATAAGTGTGACACCTCGCCTAGGTGGTGGCGACCCTTTCTACTATGGCTAGTCGTTATGCGAGTGGAAAACTACGTTGTTGTTGCATACAGTAACACATAAATGTGTTAACTACAGTTGATACCCATATAAAGCAAAAAAAAAAAAAATGTTTTATATGAGTTTTATTTTGTAAGTAATTAAATGTGTTGTATTTTCCATTTATTAGAAAGTTACACGAAGAATAAGAAAATACGACTTCCTTATTTAGAATGTATTTTATATTTTATTTATTAAATAATAATAAATATAAAACATGATGGTGAAGCTAGAATAAAATGCAAGGGTTTATAAATTCTCTATAAAATCAGATCATCTTAATAACTAGACATAATTTTGTCAATGGAATTAAGATACTTTTTTACATATAAATCCATAAGCATCACACTGGTTTATAAAGTATTTATTTACATCAAAGATATACTTTTCTCAGTATTTTTTTTTTTGCATTAATCCAACGAAACCCAACTATAGCTATGTGATGTGTAGGCCTTTGGTCATAGAGAGCCCTCTTACTTGAATAACGTATGTATTAAAACAGTAAATCAGCAATTTACCCCTACATAGAAGAGGTGGTGATGATGAAACTCATCATAAGGTGATCATTATTATGATATTAAAGTAAATAAATAAATATGTAAAATATTATACTATTTCATAAGAATTGAGTTATTTTTTAATTTTAGAGAAAATATTTATACGTTAGAAATAATATTTGATCAAATTCTTTTTTGATTATTCAGTCACACTACCGCGTTTGTTAATAGACATTTTTTGTTAATGTGTAATCGTTATTGTATAAAACATGTATACACATAATCTATTACATATATTTGTATACAAATATTTAGAAATCGAGAGTTTAAAATTAATTATTATGATATTAAAGTGAAATTACTTAAGTGATGAAGAAAAGAGTTAGTATACGGGGATATGTGTCCAATGATTTGCTGACCCCCCTATGAAAATATGTGATTTTTCCTCATAAATGAGCATAAAATCGTTGATAAAGTCACAGTGTCATCAAGAACCATCAGCTCTAAAAAAAAGACTCTACTCTATGAATAATATGGCAACCGAACCTGTAAGAAAACAGCGCTACATTTATATCGCACCAACACCGCCAGCCGAGATGATTGACTCTAGCAGTTACACTATTGCGTTCAGCGACAGAAAATTTTTGCAAGTGGGCCTGAATCCAAAGGATGACTTCAATGTTACGGTATGCATTATTACTCCTTCACGATATATTAGTATGTCAGCAGATTATTTAAATATTATTTACGGCATGAGGGATGAAATATCATTATTTCTACAATCACCTCCGGTAAAAGGAGAGAACATTATGTTATACCAAAATGTCGATTTTAATATAACCAAAGTATTGTACCGTGATACCATGCATTTAGTATTAGAATCCAGAATAGTGGATGGGTGTCCAGTGTTATTGAATAACGAAAACATTAATAGACTTATGGACTTACAGTGTACTATTAACAGTGCAATATCAAGAAAAATAAAAACACGTTTACTATTAAGCCATCAAATAGACCGCATTATACAATACGCCGACGGTAAATATTATTTCTACGAAATTATAAAAAAAAAATATAATTAGTTGTTACTTTTAAAGCAAACATGTATAAAAATTGAAGGGCTTGATACAAAACTTTCGGAACATAATTTGTTGTTATTTAAGAATAAATGATATACAAGGAATTTTCATAGATTCTGCAATTAAATTCATTCCATTACCACTAATTTTTGATTATTATAATAATAGATGTGTTTTTTAGCATCGATGCGAAACTGAGAATGTATTAATTTTACTATAATTTGTTTTTTTTGTGTCTGTTACCACTTTTTCTCAGCTTTCACCGAACCGATTTCTTTCAACAATACGTCAAAAGATCACAAATAGTATATATTCGATAACATTACCCTAAAAATAGAAAAAATTTCCCTCGTCCCTGTAAATGGGGAAAATCTCTAAAAAAAAAAATACAAATTTCAAAATTGGTAATTTTTGACATTTCCTTGATTTTTTTAAATTAAAACTGCCATAACTTTTTGAAAAATTTAAGGTCCAATACAATTTTTTTTTTATAGTTACATGAGTCTTTAACTGCACTCAGAGAGGGATTCAAAATGATTTTCAAAAAACTTTTTCAACTATACTTTTGAAAATGTTTCAGAAATACTGACACTTTTATATATATATATATATATATATCTTAAATTAAAGTTAGTGTAATATACTTTATTATGGAAAAAGTAATATTAAAAATAACCAGAGCAAAATGTAATTTTTAAATTTTTTTTTGGTCATTTAAAGTGGTTTTTTGTGAAAGCTTATAATAATAAAAAAAATGATTTATTATCATAACTTTTAGCTCAACTTGCAAGTTTGAAATAGACATCAATAGAAAATTCTAGGAGAATTAAAAAAATAATATTGTTAACATTAATATGCAGTCAGGATTTTTTATAATTACTATTTACAGTAAAATTGTTGAAAATCTCAATATTTTTTAGCTTCGATGCGAAGCTGAGAAGGTATTAACTTTACCATAATGGGTTTATTATTTTATTTTATTTTATTTTTTTGTCTGTCACTTCTTTTTCTCAGCTCTCACTGGACTGATTTTTCTCAACGATACGTCAAAAGATCACAAATCGTATTTAGTTGAAGACATTACCCTCAAAAATTAAAAATTTTTCTCTCGTTCGTTATAAATGGTGATAATCCCCAAAAAAATTACGATTTTTAAAATTTTCTTTTCACTTTCAATCACTTTTTTTTTTCTTAGATTTTCCAAAATTTATTGAAAAATGAATGATGCAAAATAAGTTTTTTTATATTGAAATCTCAGATATTTTCCTTACATTTGATATAATTTTTTTGATAATCGGACTCTTTATCTACCCACAGGGGTGGTAATTATATTATTATATTATGTTAATATATCACATACACTATACATTTTTATTCACTTAATATTTTTTGTTACAATTTATTATTTTTAAGAAGGTAGCTGATATTTTATATTAATTGCTTATAATTTATGAATAATTATAAATTTTTATGTTCAAGAAAGTGATAATGGAGTAATGGCACCTACTAAAAATTTATTATTATTTTCTGTTTTATTGTTTTTATTTTGTGTCTATTATTTTTCTAATATTTTCATTGAACTTTTAATTGAACAATAACACATAGCCAAGTTAAATTATTTCTAATCATCTATTTTTATTAATTAAAATTTATAATTGTTTCGGCGTACGTTATCGTATAGTTATTTTTTTTAGTATTATTGTGATAAGCTAACGATCTGTTTTGCTCAGCGGAGAAAAACCAGTCTCCTAATAAATGCCTCACTATGCACATATAGCAAAAATTCGTTTTTATTAATTTATAGTTAAGCGACCTAAGTAGCCTTCTTCTCGTAAAAAGATAAATACAGTCCACATTCGTAACAATAATAACACTATACATTTTAATTAATAAACCTTTTGCCGTTTTATATTATATTATATTCATATATCACGGACACACCTTCGAATAATATACTTAACAACTAATAATTCTATGTAAAATTATAATCACTTCAGTACGAGAAAGTGATAATGTCGTATACACCGGTATACTTTTACACTAAAATTAACTTTTAACTATGGAGTTTTAAAACGTTATTAAATACATTTTCAAAACATAATCTTTCACAGAGGTTAGCTCCAGCACAAACCCTGAAGAAACTCCGTGTACTACTACCGGTTATAACTACCAACACCAGGAAAAACAGAGCGTTTATGCTAAGTTCGACTAGCAAGTCCAAAAGCAGATACAAAAGAGAACCCAAAAGGCTGACTCAACGGAATTCTTTAACTCTGTGAAGTGAAGAAGGAATATTAAAATTACTCATGGAAAAACTCAATAAAAATTAATTGTATTCTCATAATACAGATCAAATAAATTAACGATAATAACGTTTCACAAAATAATTAAAAGAGAATAAATCGTCATTACATAATTAACCAAAAGATAAAAAGGATTAAAAAAATAGCCTTTAACTCTAGAACAATTAATTATTCAAAAATTTATCACAAAGTACCTCCGGTGGTCGCTGACACAATCCCCTCTTTACATATATCTACCACTTTTATACTAGTGACCAAATTGTAAAATAACATACATACGTAGCATTAAAAAAATAAGCAATAATTAAATACATGACCAATAACTTTTTTTTTTTACCCATATAACAATAATGTGATTATGGTGCCTATTAAGAATTTACTATAATTTATTGTTGTGTCATATAATTTTTTTAACATTTTTATTTAATTTTTGTATTTTTTTATGATAATTTAATCCCAAAATATAATTGATTATATGTTTGTGAAATAGAAATGTTATTACTACTGATATATTAGGAGATTAAAGTATTAATAAAATATTACATAACATATCACTTTATTTTACTTTTATTTTTATAAAGATAAATTTGTCATTTTTTTGTTGCTACAAATATATTTGGGTATCATCGCCCACAGCAAAGAGCAGGTTAACCTACACATAATATTATGTATAATCAATTATAAATTAATTTTTACTTTAAACTAAATTTCTCTTAATACCTTAACTATTGATTAAAAGTTAATAAAGACATTGTAAATGGACAAGTTTATCATTCTTTTAAGATATAAATATTTAATTATTATTTGTATACTTTTATTGCAAATTTTCTGATTAAGGCCAGTCACCATCTTCCCTTAAATAAAAAACTTAAAACGCAATAAATAAAACTTTGTTTTATTTTATTTTTTCAACATATATTTTTCGACTTATATTTTATTAAACAATAAAATTTGGAATACGTTATAATATTAAATATTATAAAATGTTTTATTTATTCTTGTATCGTATTTAAATCCAAGATTGTTGTAATATTTTGCAATATATTTGTTAGCATTATTGCAAAATATTTCTTGTATAAGAACAGGTACATAATTAATATCTAAATCTTTTTCATCAATTATTTTTTCAATGTCTTCAAAGTTTTTGTCNTAAATGTTTTCAAACCTTTTGTCATCATCAATTTCGATACTGCCTAAATCTTCATTACTATCGAGTTGTAAATCAAATACAAATGAACATTTTTTTTTATTCCAATCATATATTTTGTAATTTATTTTTTCATTTAAGTCTTTTATATTATCTCTGATTTTTGAAATATCTTCTTCATTTATTGTGACATCCTTATCAATCATAGAAGGATGAGCTGCAATATATTTTTTGAAAGTATTTTCAATTTTCTCAATTTTTTGCACATTCGAAAATATAATTATTGACAGATGTTTTCANAATTCGAAAATATAATCATTGACAGATGTTTTCATGTAATCTCTCAGAAAATAGCGATAATAAAAATACATTTAATTTAAAAATTAGATTTAAATATCATTACATTTTTTCTTTTTTTAGAGAACAGTTTGATAATTATAACGCTTTTCTGTACTGGTTGCAATACTGCATTTCAATAATACTGTCAGTAATTAAACAATAAGATATAATAAATGTGTCAATTTTTTTTTATCATATAGCAATATACATATTTAACTATTCAAAATAATAATTATCGAAATAATAAAATGGCTGATAAGGATTTATCTAATTTCATTTTTTTTAGTTTTATAATATAATTGATATTTTTTGAATCAGATATTTAATTTTTTTCTAGTACACTATTATAGAGAAGCATAAAAATTGAAATGAAACTCTACTCTTCATAGACACATAATATATTTTTCTAAAATATCCATATTTTTTTTGGTTTTTACTTGTATCAACTTCAGATTTTCATATTACAACCCAATTTTTTTTATACCATTAGATTTAGTTAAATGAAAAAACATTATTATTTCATTTAATTCTAAACGCTATATGGCTCTCTAGAGNAACTACCACTTTTATACTAGTGACCAAATTGTAAAATAACATACATACGTAACATTAAAAAAATAAACAATAATTAAATACATGACCAATAACTTTTTTTTTTTTTACCCATATAACAATAATGTGATTATGGTGCCTATTAAGAATTTACTATAATTTATTGTTGTGTCATATAATTTTTTTAACATTTTTATTTAATTTTTGTATTTTTTTATGATAATTTAATCCCAAAATATAATTGATTATATGTTTGTGAAATAGAAATGTTATTACTACTGATATATTAGGAGATTAAAGTATTAATAAAATATTACATAACATATCACTTTATTTTACTTTTATTTTTATAAAGATAAATTTGTCATTTTTTTGTTGCTACAAATATATTTGGGTATCATCGCCCACAGCAATGAGCAGGATAACCTACACATAATATTATGTATAATCAATTAAAAATTAATTTTTATTTTAAACTAAATTTCTGCTAATNGTTATTCTTCCAATTATTATTTGTATATATTATAAAATAATATGGTTACCTTATTCAGTTTATAATTAATAAATAAATTGGCGTCCCCTAATATAAATGTGGGTACAATTAATAAATTAAACTATAAATAAATTAACATACAGTAACATAATAGGATTTAACTCGTTTAATCTACAGATTTGACTGACTTCACTGTGATAGCTTCCAACTTTTTAATATAACGGTCTAACAATCACGGACTACAACCGGTGTCAAGTTTTCGTTAATAATTTGAACTTCAATAAGACCTCAACTTTTAGCTCAGTCTTTCACGGCTCTACGCAATAGGCCGGAGAACAGCAATATTGTAACACAAAAACAACACGCGTACGTCGATTACGTAACGGTATCACGATACAATATAGCGCAAAGAAACATTAGCATATGTCAACCATAGCAGCTATGGTTGACATATGCTGACTAGCTGCTAGTCAGCCGACAGACAGCTTGACCATGAAAATTATCTGACCGGTGTTGTCAAAAGCCGCATTATACACTTTCGCGATCCAATATTACCACCACTACCTCCGTGANTTGCGATCAAATATTACCACCACTACCTCCGTGATCAACCGATACACGCTATCAATACCGACTGATACGGAGATAACACGTACTGTTTTGAACACTAACGTTATAGGGTCGTAAATCGATAAGCATTACCAATATGTAGTAATGCTTAATTACTGTTGTAAAAGTACAAGCATATTTCTAANATGGTGAAAACGGCTACCGAATGCTATTTTTGTGTGAACCAGATCAAAATGTTTTATTACTATCAGTTTAAGCCAAGATGAAAGGGCTACTAGGCTCACAAGGCCTTAACTGGTAAAAGAACACAAACAAATTTTCATTTGAGATAAACAACAATAATTATATTCTGATAAAACAATGAATGATTTATTTTTCTTATAATGAAAGATGAATGTCAATAAAAAAATATATTATTATAACATTAAACTATACATAATCTTAACATTTATATTTAATTTCTCAAGGAATATATTAAATGACTTAAATCTCAATTCACACAAATTATAAATGTATATAAATATAGATATAATATATTATTATAACTTGCCAATAGAAAAGAACAAGTTATTTACATCAATAAATACTTATGCATAAGTGGATGAGGAACAAATTTATGGTTTGACTTCTTTTATTTAGTTTAGCAATTTTTACTTGAGATGATGTTGCTCTTAGGTACACATATCCTGACAAATGAGCAATCACAATTGGCTGAGAACAAAATATCCACAAAAGGATTATTCAGAAGAACATATTTCTCCCATTAACACATGAAGTTCCATAACCATAAAAAAACAATCAGTCTTTTTTATCACAAAATAGACAACATGAAATGTGATAGCTTTACACAGTGTCGCCTTATTCTGCGGCGCGAACACAAGATGTTTCAGAATAATTAAATTTAAGTTGTTACCATTATTTATTACCATTATCAGATCGTCGATTATCAATAATGATCTAATTTGCATCAGTCACATGGTTGCATATAACCGATTGGAAAATATGCTTTTAATTGAAAAGTTGTGTATTTTTCATAACTAGAAATTATTATGCTGACAAAATTTACAAATTTCAAATATATAAATTTTGATATTTTTTTTCTAGCACTGCCATTATTTTTTCAAAAATGAACATATAAAATGGTCAATTTTTTCAACTTAACTTTTGAAAATGTGAAATACTGCGTCCTTTAAAAGTATGTTAAAATAAAGTCTATGTTACGTACTATAAATTAAAAACAAAAATTGTCTCGGCGATTTATCTTCTACGTACAAATACAAATAATTTTTTATATGTAAACACATTACGTATTTTTCTTACATTTGATATATATTTTTATGTAAATCTGACCCTTTACTTGCCTACGGGGAAGATTCAAAATAGCAATTTTTTCACGAAATTTTAACTTTTGCTTTTGGAATGAACCAATATCTTTAAATAAACATATTTAAAGATTTGCATTTGGGCGTTTCTTAAAATAGTGATTTTAATCACCATCAGATATCATCTATACATGTCCTAGCTATGCTAAGTGCACACTGTGCTACGACCTCACTATGCTACCGTTGTTTTTTATTGTTGAAATGTGATTACTTAAAATACAAACAACAAAAGAACATTATGCACAACTTGATCATTGAAAAAATTTCCCTCGTTCCATATAAATAAGGGTAATCCATAAAAAAATTTGTAAATTTTAACATTTTTCAAAGGATTGAGTTAATATATAGCTCCCAATCATCTCTTTATATAATAATATAATCAGGACATAGAATAAAAATCATTTTAATAAATAATTTAACACTTCTGAAATTATTAACCTTAATAATCCTTGAATAAAAATTTTTTTGAAAATCTGACCTTTTTCCCTGTCACAGGTGATGTTGCAAAATGGCAACTTTTCAACAAAAAATTACTTTTTCATCTTAACCTTTGAAATTGTTCCAGATACTGTCATTTTTATATATATCTTANGGAAATACTGCGTCCTTTAAAAGTATGTTAAAATAAAGTCTATGTTACGTACTATAAATTAAAAACAAAAATTGTCTCGGCGATTTATCTTCTACGTACAAATACAAATAATTTTTTATATGTAAACACATTACGTATTTTTCTTACATTTGATATATATTTTTATGTAAATCTGACCCTTTACTTGCCTACGGGGAAGATTCAAAATAGCAATTTTTTCACGAAATTTAAACTTTTGCTTTTGGAATGAACCAATATCTTTAAATAAACATATTTAAAGATTTGCATTTGGGCGTTTCTTAAAATAGTGATTTTAATCACCATCAGATATCATCTATACATGTCCTAGCTATGCTAAGTGCACACTATGCTACGACCTCACTATGCTACCGTTGTTTTTTATTGTTGAAATGTGATTACTTAAAATACAAACAACAAAAGAACATTATGCACAACTTGATCATTGAAAAAATTTCCCTCGTTCCATATAAATAAGGGTAATCCATAAAAAAATTTGTAAATTTTAACATTTTTCAAAGGATTGAGTTAATATATAGCTCCCAATCATCTCTTTATATAATAATATAATCAGGACATAGAATAAAAATCATTTTAATAAATAATTTAACACTTCTGAAATTATTAACCTTAATAATCCTCGAATAAAAATTTTTTTGAAAATCTGACCTTTTTCCCTGTCACAGGTGATGTTGCAAAGTGGCAACTTTTCAACAAAAAATTACTTTTTCATCTTAACCTTTGAAATTGTTCCAGATACTGTCATTTTTATATATATCTTAAATTATATTTTATGTCTATCAATTTGCGTACAATATAGTTATAAAAATAAAGCACACGCAAATTTCATGAAAAAATCTGGTACTTGTTTTTTTTTTGCTTTATTTTTAGTTTAATAGTACGCTGACACTGCAAGGTTCAAGACACCTAAAAATAAAAATAAATGATAATTATCTTTATCTATAATAAATCCACCACAGTTGGATCGCGGCAAAGTGGGCACGTGGCATAATTGGGTCCAGTATAGATTTAATCTGACAGTGATTAAAATCATTATTATAAAAAACGCTTCGATGCAAATCTGTAGATAGTGTTTAATATTAAAAAATTGTTGGATTATTCCAAAAGCATCATAATCTCTTTTTTCCTTATTTATATCTTGATTACATGTTTTATGATTTATAAGTGTAATATATGAATAAATATATATTAAAACAAATATAGTAAAAAAATGATGTTTAATAATTTAGTACTGAAGAATTTAAAAAAATTACAAAGTAGTTATTACTTTTATGGCACACGTATATATAAAAGTTGAAGGCCTTGATGAAATACTTAAAAATTATTTGTTATTTATAAATAAATTTACTGGTCTACTGTTATTTTTATCCCAGACCAAAATATACTTTTCTAAACTCATTTTCTCGCCGATTTCAAATCTGCAATTAGAATTTCGCATATGACCTAAATAATAACAAAATCCTTCTAATTAAAATAACAAATATTTATGTTTGTATATTAGGATTTATACGAGTAATCAATAAATATAATTTAATTAAAAATAAGATGCAAAAGTTCTACTTTCTATAGGCATTTTAAAATTTGTAACTACTCCTGTATAAAGGGAAATGTTCCAATTAAAAAAATATATATACAAACATATTAACATACAACAATATATTAACATATTTTTGAGTTTAACTTATCATTGATGTTGATTTTTCAGATAATGACGTCAAACAGAGTAATTGTATAAAAAAGACTGCATGCAATAACAATTTTGTAAAAAAAGTTATATAAATTACTTGATATTTTCTATTATTTTATCGAAGTTTCGTCTAATATAAATATAATAATGAAAATGCTCACTAGTATTATATTATTTATAGTATTAATGTGTGAATCTCAACTTACATCATGCGATCATTCTAAAGTTAACAATATACTAAATTCATTCATTAATAAATGTTTTGCGAATAAAAGTTTAAAATATTTTCAATTAAGTAAATTTACAGTTCTCAAAGATTACAATGCACTCGTTAATACTCCGTCAGAAACGTTTGTTAATTATGTTAATGATAAATTATTTACAGTGACAAAAGTATTAAGTTGTGATTATGTCTTTTACTTGTTGTATAATGCAAACATCCTTGGTTCTTTTATCGATATTTGTACAGAATTTAATAATAAACAAAATAAAGAGACTATAATAAAATGTTTAGAAAATCTTAAGACATGTACTACTGAAGTAAATAAGGTAATTACTTACTTTATAAGTGCATTGGATTATTTAACTAACCTGACGAATAATGACTTGAAAACATTTGTAAATGATTATACAACCACATTGAAAATGTTTGAGAATTTTGAACAATTTACACACGACTTTAATGCAGATAATCTTTCTTTGATTTCTGAGAATGTCATACTAAAAGAAGAAGATATTGAAAAATTAAACGCAATCGTTAAAGACAAACAAACCATATATAATGATTGGTCTGTTAAATACTGTGATAATATTTTAGATGGATTACCTGATGATGAAGTAGATAAATTAAATTTATCATATATATATATATATATATATGGTGAACATTTTTTTAGTAAATGTAATAACGATCCTGCTCATATGCATAAAATATATATGAGATTCCTTAATAAAATTATTGCAAAATATTATAGCAAACTTGGATTTAAATACGATACAGATACTAATAAAACTCTTTATAATAATTAATATCATATTGTATTCCAAATTTTAAAGATAAAGCAAATATATTTCAATAAATGTATTTTGAGAAAATAAAATAATTGGAAATATTAATTTTGAATTAAATATTGTTTATATTTTAAAAGAAAGATAAACTTATACATTAAAAGATAAGGTGACGTTTATTTTTAGTAAAATTTATTATTTATTACTATTCATTAATATACATTATTGAATTAAATTAAAAATTGTTAATTTTAAT